ACAATCACTTGCTATGCCGTGCACTGACCACCAGAGGGCGGTGCGGAACAGTGGCAGCAGTGGGGAGTGAGGGAAGGGGGAGGCACGGAAGCAGGGAACCTGATCGGCCCTGATTGCTGGCCAGGCCTAGGGACCTTACCCAGGCACGAATTTTTTGCATTGGGCCTCTACTGTACTAATAAAAATGAGAGCCAAAACTGGTTTGGCTCAGCGGATAGAGCATCAGTGGATAGGGTCCTGGGTTCGGTTCTGGTCAAGGGCATGTATCTTGGTTGCAGGCACATCCCCAGTAAGGGTGTGCAAGAGGCACCTGATTGATGATTCTCTCTCATCAATGTTTCTAACTATAACTCTTCCTCTCTGTAAAAAAAATTAATAAAATATATATAAAAATAAAAATAAAAAAATGAGCTTTGCCCAGTCTACCTATTTTTATTTATTTATTTTTATTGATTTTGTACAGAGAGGAAGGGAGATAGAGAGTTAGAAACATCGATCAGAGTCATCGATCAGCTGCCTCTTGCACACCCCCTACTGGGGATATGCCCGCAACCAAGGCACATGCCCTTGACCGGAATCGAACCTGGGACCCTTCAGTCCCCAAGCCAACGCTCTATCCATTGAGCCAAACCGGTCTTGGCCCAGTCTACCTATTAACCAGGGGGTCACGGTTCAGTTCCCAGTGAGGCCACATGCCCAGGTGGCGGGCTCTATCCCCTGTGTGGGCTGTGCAAGAGGCAGCAGAGCAATGATTCCTTCTCATCATTGAGGTTTCCATCTCTCCCTCTCCATTCCTCTCTAAAGTCAATAAAAATATATATATATATTTAAAATATAAATATGAAAATGTAAGAGCCATTGGCAAAGCTCGAGATTTACCATTTGTCCTACCTTCTCTTTGACCTTGGAGTCTGCCTACCTCCTCCAGAGGTGCCTGCAGTATTTCGGTGGGTCCTTTCAGAGATTCCGGCTTCCATCGAGGGCAGCTGGGGCCAACGGAGCTAATGGGGCGCCCCACCAGCTGTGATGCCTTCTCGGTTCCAAATGATCAGGAAGCAGGTCCTGCCGCGCAAAAGCAGCAGCCAAGGGCACTGGACCTCCCTCCCACAGCCCAACGAGAAGCGGTCGTTTATAAACACACAACACACACCGGGGTTTAATGAGAAAATAATTGTATACTTGCATTGAATGCCTCACAATCACTATAAAACCGAAGCAGAGGAATGACATCTCAGTGGTTAACATACACAGGAGAGCCGGATTCAGAGTGTAATAGTCAAACACAGTATTGCTGCTTTTGCCCCCTCCTCCTCCTCCTCCTCAAAAAAAGAAAAAAAAAAAAGTCATTTGGGTAAAGAGCAACACAAAATCAAAATTGGCAGCTCACTCACTGAATGCTTAGAATTCAGGAGAATTGGTTGTCACTAAACTTGGATATAGTCACCATCTCTAAACACGTAAGCTATTTTTTTTCCCTCTCAATACATAAGTTTAATTACATCCGGTTTTAGTTGTGAAAAAAATTGTTTGCTTATCTGTCTTCAGAGGCAAGAGCCAACACTGTTATAGTGTTCCTTGTTACGTGTGTGTGTGTGTGTGTGTGTGTGTGTGTGTGTGTGTGTTGTGTGTATATATATATGTGGACACTGATCGATATACTGCTTCTATGTCACTGTCTAGCGTGGGCGGCATGCACGGGTGGAAGGAGGCAAAGGAAACTGCATCGTGTCCTCTGAGCAGAGCACAGCCTGGCCCCCGGCCACGGACAGAGCCCGTGTGCGCAATTTCTGGATGAGAAAGCCAAGGCTGGTCAGGAGTCACGTAGCTGCGGAGGGAAGCCTATAAACACGGCTGAGCGGAATAACTTTCAGGAAAGCCTTGAACATCTGCGGAACCTAAGCATCTGTCCTAGTGGAGATGAGCAAGCTTGCGGACTACTTGGGGGCAGGGATGGGGAGGGGAGGGCCAAGCTTCCCACCAGCTGGAGGGTGCGGCGGGAGTGGCTCTCCGCCGGGGCCCTGTTACATCTTCAGAGAGTTAAACGGGGTCATCAGGGAGCCCAGAGCCTAGCGCTGTGCTATGTACAAAGCAGGGGCCCCATGGTGCTTTAATGAGTAAAAAACAAACAAACAAAAAAACCCAAGAGCGCAGAGAAAAATCTGACTCTTCCCCAGGGAATTTACACGTTGGTGGGATTGCAGGGGAGGGGCAGAGGGAGAGAGACAACAGTGTCCTGTGGAGGGAATGGACAAATGCCGGAGGAGGGGGCCACCATGAAACAGCCACGTGGCCGCGGGCTGCATTTGCTGCCTGATCTACACTCGGAGCTCGGACCAGAGGACTCGGTGCGCTCAGTGCCTCTGGCCGCCCCAGCCACAGACCGAGGGGTGTGCCTCCGAAGCGACCCCATGGCTGTGTGGCCTACAGCCTTCCCTTCAGCTGCAAATCCCCTTCCCAGGTGTGGGCTAGACGCAGGCACACAGGATTCCTTCCATCAGAACGAACATCTCCAGCTACGTCCCATCCCGAGGACGGCTTCCTCTTGTGAAAGATGGGGAGGTTCTTCAGATCGTGTCCAGGGTCCCAGCCAGGCTGTGCCCTGGGCCAACCCAGGCTGCCGGCTCACCTGTGTTCACCCCCAAGCCTGCCTTGGGGGCACTGGACCTCACCGGGCATAGCATCCTTCCTAGTTGTACCCTGACAGGACTTCTAACCTCACCCAGATCTCGTTTTCCCGAGGATGCCTCCCCCACCCCAAAATTAATTTCTTGCCACAGGGATATTATTCATCTGGTGCCCCCGGGGGTGGGCACACATCGAATATTCACTTGGAATATTCAAGAGCAGGATTCATACAAAGATGGCACCAGCTGCCCATGGGTAGAATGTGGCTTCACACTGCAGGCTCCCTTGGCAGTCTTCGAGGATCCTCCTTGCAAATGACCTGACAGTTCCAATCCTTCTCCGTGCCCACTGCTTGTCTGTGGATCAGTTTCCCCCTAAGTCAACACTAGTCTAATAAAAGGAACAAAGATAATGTGCACAACATCTACGTACAAATTTTATGTGGAATTGCTACTCATCAGAATAACATATTAGAGCTTATGACACCTTAGAAAAACAAAAACGAACTTCAGTGAGGTCTGACTTCATTATTGCTTATTTGTAAAAACCACAGTTTTAAAACAAAAGGAAAAAAGAAAAAAAAAAAAAAGAATGCTGGTCAGGTTTTGTTTTTTTTTCCTCATGGCCAGAACAGAACATTTTCTCATCCAGAAACGTAGGGCCCTCGGTTACGGAGCGCCCTCGTCATATTGCTTTAAATGACAGAGAGAGTGAAGCTGGCATCCTCTATGGTATGCTAGGCGTGAATACAAAGCGTGAGAATAAATACGGTGCTTTTCCTACACGTCATGTTACAAAACTGCTCCAAACTCTGCAACTGTGCCTCATGCAAACACCATGTCCGGCCAGTTCACAATGACAAATACTGCATCAGCTCGGTGCCTCTATATCCCTTTTCACAAAAAGGCCTCCTCACTCACTCCTCATGCCGGCAAACAGCTTTGGAGGAAATCACTGTACACCCTGTCCCATGATCACTCTGGAATTTTAATCCTGACATACACATACACACACACATACATACACACACACACACACACTCTTACTCATGGGCATACACACTTTACATCAACACACTTCACATACACACTTTACATCAAACAAGAGATGCGTGAGTGCGTGTAAACAGGCACACACACACACACACACACACACACACACACACCATCTTTAGCGTTTGTAGCTGAAATATCTAGTCTCTATTTTTCTGTATCATCCTGAAAAACACTGGCTGATCGACAAAAATATCTCTTACTTCCTTATTTCCCCCCCCCCCCCTTTTCCTCCCTCCCTCTCTCTCTACCTTCGTGGCCTTTCTTTAACGTTTCATTTCTGATTGATCCAAAATAATTTCCCATTCTTCCTACCACCCCTAAGGTCCACTTTATGGCATTCTAGTAAAATATAAGCCCCTTTTCACTTCTCATCATCTACCTCTCTGAGGGCAGAGTCTGCCCTTGTTCAACGGTTGCCACTCTAAAAATACCTCTACCCTCTTGAACCAGATGTTCAATGTGCACAGGCTTTATACATGGATATATTTCCCCAATCCCATCATAAAAATAGTCGTTGTCCACTAAATATAGTTTTCCTAGGAAGAAACATAATCATGAAAACGTGTTCTCCTAAACCTGCAGATCAGTCAATAGTAAGCGGACAAGATTCTAATGCTAAAATAATCCATTTGGTTTGGCTTTCTCCCCCTCTCAGCCTCCTCGTGTGGAACAGATTGTGTTTTGCAATAGGAAGAAACGTTGTCTTAAAAATAGGGATTGTGTGTATTGCGACCATTAACTGCTCCCGATTAAAAACAAGGAAATGTGAGATAAATGGAGTCATCCCTGCCTCTTCTCGGCAAGGAGAGAAACAGGATTCATGTCATGGCTGCTGGAGTCGACGGAGTTCACCCAACACCTCTGATGCTGGTGGTAGGTGGGCCCCTGGTGAAGAGGCCTCTGCGCCAGTCGACTGCACCAGCCTGGGCCCCCTGCTCTCCAACGGCCCCATCGCCATTGTGTTTCCTCCCACCCAGCCGGGCTGGTCTCGGTTCTGCCTGGAACCACCATGTTGATTTGCTTGTCGCTTCTTTGTCCTTTGGAGCAGGTGTGGATCGGTCCAAACCCAGACGGTTCTCGGAGCCACAAAAAAAAAAATTAAAAAAAAAAATCCTTTCTCTGGGTGACTCCCGGGTGTGAGAGTTTGATGGATGGACTTCTTTCTTCACGTCATGGTTCATGGTTGCAGCTTCTGGTCTCGGGAAGGATGGCTGAGTGTGGTTGCACTTTAATAAATAGTCCATTAAAATGCTGGGATGTGTGGATGGCTTGGCTTCTTGGTGACCCAAGCACACAGGAAGCTTCCTGGGTGGAAGTGTATTATTCATTGTCCTCCTCCTCCTGGTTGGCATAGATGCCCGCCTCCCAGCGCAAGGCCAGGGCGCTCTTCCTTCGGTTAACCCGCGTGGCCTCAAGGACCTGAAGAGAGAGGGGAAGAAATTAGGCAGAGTCCATGATGTTAACTATGTATACAAACCCATTTCTCCGTTTTTTTGTTTGTTTTTTTTTTTCCTCCTTGCCCTCTCAACAGCATCTAAGGGGGAAGTAACAGTGCCTGTACCGCTGGGAGGTAGGAGGACACACAGCGGGTGGGTGGGAGGTTTTGGGTGTGCACTCCTAGCCTATGTCCCTTCGCTCTTTGACCTCTAGTTAGTTACATAGATGACTAATTTTCCTGAAGCGTTCTGCAAGATGGGTGCTGTCTGACAGAAATACCCTGGACCTGGGCCATCCAGTAGGATAGCCACCAGCCACACATGGCGCCGAGCTCTTGATGTAGGCCGGGTGTGGCTGAGAAACTAATTATTTAATTTTAATTAATTTCCATGGAAATGTCCTCACAGAGTTAGCACGAGCTCTAGGCTGCCTTAGTCACATTGCAAACAAGCAAACTAGAGAGCAATGCCAAACCACTGGGCCAGCGTGAACTCAATCCATTAGGCTTTGTGGATCTATATCAGCTGTGATCATATTTATACCACGAAAGCCTGCTTGGGTATAATTAAGCCTCAAGGAGACATTAAGGGGGTGGGGGGAGAGGATAGCTTTCCAGGCCAATGAAAAGCAACCTGAGCATCTTGATGCAACGTGAGGGCAGTAGGTGCTAATAAGTGAGATAAAAGGTGACAACATCCAGGATGAGCAGCTCACCACCATCAGGGTAGGGCCTCCTTCCCTAGAGTAGTCTGTGGGCTCCTGGGTGAGGAGGAAAAAGGGGGGGAAGGAGGGCGGGCAGAATCACTTCCATGCTTTGATTTGATCAGGATGAGACCCAGCTGAATAACACGTAAGTTGCCAACATGTGAGAAATGGTTGAGTACATGGCACTCCATTCAAAGCATGCCCATGCAAGCCAGCCAGCTCAACTGCAGGGGCATTAGCTTAGGGTGTGAAGTTTCTGATTTTAAAGAAAAGTCCAGCAGAGCTAACCCTGGTTGATAATCCAAATAGCAAGGAAGGCTTTGCTTATTCTAAGAACGATCATTTTGACAGCAACAGGGATGCTGGCAACTCCAGAGAAGCAAGGAGATGCGGGGTTGACGGGCAGGGCTGGGAGCCCAGACATAAGCAGGTCCTGGGGGTCCATCTCAACCTGCTTCTCTGCCCCCCTGACAAAGGAACCAACTTCCCAGAGCGTAGGTGTGCTTTCCTCTCGGAAGTCTCCTTCGGTCCTCCCAGCAGGGACAACTGGACTGGACATGTAGGACACAGTCTCTTACGCACATAAGCCATGCCATACAGTGTTTTGTGTGTGAGCATATCACGGCCACCTATTCTAAGAATAAGGTATCAGTAGGAAAAAGCATGCTTTCCAATGTGTTATAGTTATAAGTAGAGGATTCTTCTGGGCAGTGCATGGTCACGTGGTACTGAGCAGCAGTGCCGGACGGGCATTGGAAGTCCTGAGCTTCATTTCCAGCTCTGGGGCACACTGTTCTTGTTCATGGCATCTGGTGCCTCAACTTTCTTCATCTGCAAAATGGACACGCACTACCGCCCTACGTCACAGGCTCTCTCGGGGGGCAGGGCTGACTCTGAAGTCCAGGCAGGTCTAGGGGTACATCCTCGTGACTGTGTCACCTTGGAAAGGTTTGCCCTCATGCCTCAGTTCCTGTGTATGAATAATGGGAACGATAAAAAATACAGTATGGAGTAGGCCCGAGGAATACATGAGGCACCAAGCTCCCAGTGTATAGTAAGTTCTCAAGCAATAATGACTTCTATCATCGTGTGAAGGGAATTCATAAACTATAGAGTGGTAATCAAATATGAGGCATTTTTATAAGGCTCTCTACCCTGTGCAAACTGGCCATCTGTTCACCTCGCACATACACACTGAAAGGCGTACCTGAAAGCTAAAAAATACATCTATGGTTCTGCAACCAGGTAGCCACTGAGAAAAGTACATGTGATGATATTCTCAATATTCATTATACCCAATGGAAGGAGATTGCTGAGGATCATCAGCTTATGTATCTAGTTAATTATAATTATTTTGATAAATAGGGAGATTTAAAGTATACTGTGCTACAGGTTAGCACAACCAATAGGAAGGCTAGTTTTCAATGTGTAGCAAATGCGAGGCTATCTGAGCCCTATAACCAGAACTGCTGTTTCTAATACGAAGAGAAGTTCTTTCATAGGTGCACAAAGGGATATGGATGATATCATCCAGCAAAGCATTGTTGGTAGCAGCAATAAATTTTTTATTTTAGAACAAGAAACAATCTACATTTCCATCACTAGGAGGGTGAATAAACAGTGACATGTTCACTCAATGTAATACTTTACAGCAGTTACAATGAGTGACCTAGAACCATAAAAATCAAGATGGACACGTCTAAAAACAATACAGACAAAACAGAGGAAGGAGTGGAGGATACTACAATATGATGTATTTTGTAGGAAATTCTAAAACATGCAAAATCAGAACATACTATATATAAACTACATATATATATAGTATAAGTATAAAAACATGCATGAAATCAATGAACACCAAACTCAAAAATAACTACCTCTCAGGAGAGAGAGAAAGGAGAACTGGGAGAAGTAACAGGAGGAGTAAGTTCTACTTGCAATATTAATTTTTTTTTAAATATTAAGCACATATTATAAAGTGATAAGAATGGACAAAGCTGGATAGAATGCATAATTTTATTATATTACGTTATTTAGACATTCGAATGCCTGCTCCATGACATCAGGGACTGTTTTGTTGACTGCTCTCCTCTCAGAACCTATGCTACAGTGCCTGTGGCATAGTAGGTGCTCAAAAAGCTGTTAACAGAACAAGTGAATGAATGTGGATTTTCTCCATCATTCTGCATATTTGAAATAATTTGTTTAAAATAAAAATAACACAATGCTGTAGAAATAAAAATACAAAATGTTTCTCACAGAAAAGAGAAAATATTAAAAAATGGGGAAAATGAAAAATGTGCATTTCTCAGCACAAGTCTGTTAAATCTGTATATGAGAGAAAGCTGTAGCCCCATTGGCATGGCTAAGTGGTTGAGCGTCGACTTAGGAACTAGGAGGTCACAGTTGGATTCTCAGTCAGAGCGCATGCCCAGGTTGTGGCTCAATCACCAATAGGGAGCATATGGGAGGCAACCAATCAATGATTCTCATGATTGCTATTTCTCTCTCTCCCTCTCTAAAATCAATAATATATATATATATATAAATATATATATATATATTAATATATATATGTATATATATAAAATTCTATTGACTTTTTACAGAGAGGAAAGGAGAGGGATAGAGAGTTAGAAACATCGATGAGAGAGAAACATCGATTCAGCTGCCTCTTGCACACTCCTTACTGGGGATGTGCCTGCAACCAAGGTACATGCCCTTGACCAGAATCGAACCTGGGACCCTTCAGTCCACAGGCCGATGCTCTATCCACTGAGCCAAACAGGTTAGGGGAATAACAAATATATTAAAAAATAAAATAAAATAAAATAAAATAAAATAAAATAAAATAAAATAAAATAAAATAAAAAGTTGTAGGGGAAAGGAGACTTTCGAGGAAATTCAATGCGCAAAGCTTCCAAAACTAAAACACAGATTTAACCTTTGGGTAAAAGGGAAGCTGGATGGCTCACTTCTGGGTAAGTTCTGGAATAACTTATCCTAAAGCGAAGACACGGAGCTCCCTGGATGTGTTTAAGCAAACAAAGGACCGGGTCCCCTTAGCTGCATTGCTTTCTAACCAAACCAGGTATGTTTGCTATCAGAGCCTGAAGAAACAAAGACATCTCCCAGCTCCGTGAGCAGGGCCAGGTCTCCTCCTCCCACCACACGGCACGGCAGGCACAGCAGGGTGCATCATGGCTGCGTGCATGCCAACATGTGGAGGCAGTTCTCCCAGTTCAGAAGCAACAGGAAGAAACAGACACGGAGACACACTGCTTTCTTGTCCTCCTCCTTCAACCCACCGGGAAACGGCAAACCACAACCGCATGCACCTGGCCCGGCATGCAGGAAGACCAAGACACACAAGTGGAAAAGTACCTCGGAAGTCACCTTGCAAGACAGTAACTTAGAGGTGTACTGGCAGAGAGGGAAAAGTCCAGGTTAGTACATGGCAGAGACACACTCCCCTCCCCACTCCCCCTAACTGGGAACCGGTACCATAGGGGCAGACAGGAGGGCAGTAACACCAGGAGACCATTACACACCCATGCCAAGACTTGCTTCATCTGATATTCATTTATTTAGAAATCCATATCTTTTGGAGCAAATAGATACCCTATTATTTTCAATTAAAAAAATATCAGATAAGCCATGCTTTGTTAATTCAAGATTTTCTGTGCTTTGAATTAACAAGATCACCAAGTTCAAGGGCATCACTGACTCAACCCATCGTTGTCTGAGGCTCAGGTCAAGCTCAGGAACAACTGGCCAGAAAAACACTGTCGACGCACTGTCACCGACAGTAAGTCCTGAGTGAGGAAGTCCATGATTTAATTCTCCATCTTCGATCCTTCTCTGAGCCCGCACCTCATTCCCGGCAGGAGCGGAGACAGCTCAGGGCCATGAAAAAGCCACCCAATGTGGTATAGGCGTCCCCGCGTCACCCCCTGGCAGGGATTTCGCCCCAGAGGCCTGCCGGCCGATCCTGCAAATGAATTTTCACAGAGTGTGAAAAAACAAACAAACTCAGCACCCAGGGCAGGTCTCCAGAGACCAGTGACGCTCTGGGCTGGGGGGCGCCACCCCTGTTTTGATGGTGAGGGGCAGTTTTCGAAGGTCTCGTGGCAAAAGCTACTCATGAGCCCTGCAGGTGCGGCTCTGGGGGCTTCTCTGTCTTCCCTTCCCTCTGTCCTTCATGCGCGTCCATAGCCTTACGTCTAATGTGTCACAATGCACACATCCCTGTCGCCCCGTTTTGTGAAGGCTGCCTTCTTCTTAGGAAGCGCAGCAAAGAACAACTTTTTATTCAATTCAGAAAGAGCTGAATTGAACAAACGTATGGCCAAGCCCATGGCTGGGTCCCCGTCACATGTGAGGGAGTCCTCAGGGGGTTTTTGGAAGGCATGTTGGCAGGTGGACCGGCCAATATTGGTGCCAGGGCGACCCTGGAGCCAGGTGGGCCGTGTGAGGGTCTCAGAGGGCGGGACCTAAGAAGCCATCGTTTGCCTAGAGAACAGCGCATGTGAGTGGAGCTGGAACAGAACCACGGCTTCGAGGGGCAGGGAAGCCAGGTACACAACTCAGGCAGCAAGCAGCCCATCTGCGCCTATTTATGCTCCTTCTGGGGTCAGAGACAGCTGGAGAAGGGGCCACGGACCAGCAAAGCAAACGAAAGCTTGTTCGTTCCAGCAGGTGAACTTCAAATACCCCCCAGGGTCTGACGCAGGCACAATAGCAAAGACCCCCTGAACCGAAAGGGCTGGAAATGGGGTGACAGGGGCTCTGACCACGTGTTTGCTTTAGAAGCAGTCTGAGTTCGCTTTCCCCAAATGTGGGTCTCTTAAAGGGACTCCAGGGGATTGCTTTGTTCTGTCCCTAAGCGTTTTCAACAACAAACGTGGTTCTCTTGTCCTATCAGTAACGGTGAAAAGCACTTGGCCTTGAGTCCAAGATCTGGGGATCGCAGCAACTTGACTAGTTAGTGGGTTTCCTCCTTGTATGACATGTTCGTTTACTCGAGAAGAACACATGAAGAGCACTGTGCGCCCCGCAGCACACACGTGTGAGGTGCACAGATAACTGATTATCCAAACTGGGGCGCTTTTAGGAGTGGAAGGGGAAGGCTATTTATGACACCAGGACAACAGGCTGACACCTGGGTGGCATCCTCCCCAGACACAAGCTTTTTTGTGACCTACGTGCCACCGGGGGGAAGAGGCAGTCACCTCAGTAAGTGCTAAGAGACTGGGGCCAGCAGACTCCTAAGGAGGTCGGCATGGACCCCCCTCAGGCTGATCCCCGGCTCCTGGCTGTGGCACCACGGCCCTCCTGTCTCTTGTGGGAGAAAGAAACCACAGAACAGATGACATCCTTCCTCCATGGTCAAGGTGAACAGCACACGTGACGTTCTCAGGGCTGAGGGGAGCAGGTGGCCGTGTGGTTTTCAACCGTCATTTTAAATGGCTCTTTTCCTGCTAAACTGAACGCAAGGCCTGGTAACAGCCCCGAGCGCACTCGGTCTTTTGGGCACGGAGTAACATTTCGAGGGGTGGCCCAGAGTAGACGCTGAAGGATAGCATCGTCCTAGTTCTCCAGAGAAATGAAACCCTACAGAGAGGGCAGGGAGGGCAGCCAGCAGCTCCCTGGTGCCTGGGGTGATGTCAGGGCCCCTCCATCCTCCTTCCCTTCTTGCATCAGACACCCACACACCAACACAGCCAGAGGCCCCCATGTCACGGGCAGGAAAAAGGCTGCCTCCTGGCCTGCCCCACGTTTTCAAGAAACAAGGCAAAAACCCCAACCCCACCTCCGGGCGTGTCAGACCACACATCTGAAAATCGGCCGAGGAGCCAGTTCCCTGGCAGACAACTGTCTACGCGTCCGTCATGCTACTCGGGGGAGTGGAAGAGGAAAGGAGGAGGAACTTACACTACTATCATCCATTCTCTCGCGCCTTTTAGATTTGTGAGTCTCATAGTCTTCCAGGAGGGTCTGCATCAGATTCTTGGGCCGTTGTGATCCGGCAGCCTCTTCGGGGGCTAAGTCAGGCTGCGAGCTGGGGCCTTCAGGTGTGGGGGATGGAGGAGGTCTGACTTTCTCTATTTTCCCTGAAACAATACGAAGAGAACAACCCTTTCTAAGCTCATCTGCTTGTGACTGCTTTCTGAAAGAGGAGAAAACTGGCAACAAAAAAAAAAAAAAAAGAAAGAGAAAAAAGCAAGCGCCGACATAGTGGTACCAGAACAATGGTTAAGTCAGGACATGTTATCACAGGGGTCCAAGTACGTAAGGATAATGTCACGAACCATCCAACAAGGACCTCAAGGAACCCAGTGCTAAAAAGTCAGAGGTGAGTGGCCCATTGGGCAGTGTGCAGATATGGGTCAGGCAGACAGACACTGGCTCCAGTTCGGGGGACAGGTCATAGGTTACAGAATGAGACTGTGAGGGGACAGCCCCACCTCTTAGAGATGAAGGAAACCGAGGTCCTGCAGACAGAGGGTTGTGCTGAGGTCGCCGGGAGTCAGTGAGGGGACTCAGGTCTCCTGGTCCCCTCACCAGGTTCCTTCTTGTCTATCAAAAGCAATCACCTACCATTTCGCCTGCCCGAGCTTCAGGCGTGGACAGTCAGTGCCGAAGGACCTCTGAAGGAGGACTAGGTTTGTTGTTCTCACCACAGCCTTACTAGGCCAGCCTCATTCATTTACCTTACCTGCCACGGACCTAGAGCATTCAGGTCGGAGACACCCCTGGCCCGACCCCCAAACCTTGAGGAATGCATGCCAACAAAGCCAGCTCAGATGTCATACGAACGGTGTGCACCAGGCCTGGGAAAGGTGAGACGTGGCCTCTGGAAATGCCTCACAGGAATTTTCAGAGAAGACCAGGTCAGTGAGGTGGGGTGGGGTGGCTCTAGGCACGTTCACCAAGCCCTTCTGCATTCCTCCCTCTGGGGCCATGCCCGGCCCTGACTTCAGGCCCATCAAGGGGTGGGTTTTGTCGCCACGGAGCCCCAAATGCACCTCTGAGAAGTTCCTATGATGCCCTTTGTGGGAGATGAAGGGTCTATGAAAAAGGAATGTGGAAAACGCACACAAAACACGTGGGACCATTCAAGTCCAAAGTTTGGAAATGGCCAAAGTTAAAGGTCCCAACCTGAAGGTGTCTCATCTTTCTTCACCATCTTCCCCAGACTTCACCTTGGCCAATGCCTTACAGGTGAAGTCTGGGGTCTGAGTCTCCACGGGGGCTGCTACAGCCTCTTTCTGGGCACAGCTGCTTTCCACGGGCTTTGGAAACCCCCCTAGAATTCAGGAAATCCAGGTCTTTATTTCTGCTCTTCCATGAATCATCCGTTATTGGCTATCTAATCCTGGGCTGATCATTAAGTTCTCCCAGCTACAAGATGAGAATTGTGGAAGAAGTTGTCTGAGAAGTCCCTTCTAACTCAAGACATTCTGCTATTCTATCAAATATATTTATCAAGAAGATCGACCCTTATTGTGTAAAGAAAAAGCATGGCTCTCACATTTGACAATTAGGTGGAAAGTTGTTTTTCATGCACAGAACAGGGCACTTTATCACCATGAGGCACTTTTACACTAGTCACTTAGGGAAACTCGTCTTGATCTAAATTACCCAAGTCATTTACAAAAAAGTCTTTTGACACTAACAGCAAGGTAAAAATATTCCCAATTTATCATGTCCGCTAGCGAGGATTTCCAGTTTTTATTTGGGGATGCTATAATGGCTCCCCATTGACTACATTAAACATTTATCAAGATTTTACCACACCCGCGTTCCTATCCTTCCTTCCTAACACTGAAATATTTTAAAGCAATCAGGTAATATTACCTCTGCATATAGGTCTCTATAATTTCAGATTAGCTCTTTCAATGAAGGTTTGAGAAACGATTTGGCGCAGAGGTGAGCATGCAAGGCCTGGGAGCCAGCCTGCTTGGGCCTGAGCCCTCTGCTTAGCAGCCAAATATAACCCGGGGCAAGTCACTTACTCTTTTCCTATCCCAGGTCCCTCATCGGTAAAGGGAGTGTGATAAGAGGAGCCTTCCCCGTACACTTGGGATAAGGACCAAGTTAATATTTAGAACAGCAAGCATCCAATTTACCCAGTTACTACTTATTTGGAATCCCAAAGAATAATGTCCCTCGAATGAGAAAGAGCAATTCTGTGGGTATTGTGCATAAAACATCTGTCATTTTTCTAGAACTAGAAATAAATACCAAATTGCCGAGGTTGGTCGTCATTATTTTCCAATTGACCTCGTACGTGTCCACATTACCTCCCACCAGCCTCTCCCCCAGCATTAAATTTCTAGAAAGCATAGTCTGTATTCCCTGCCTTCACCTTTCACACACACCACGGTCTGGCCTCTGCTTTAGGCACTTTTTTTTTTTTTTTTTTAAATATTTCTGTGAAAGCCGTTTTCACATGCTGACTTGTATCATATCTGGTTAAGTTTCTCTTCTCAAGTAAGCTGCAAAGTCACCTAAGGATAGGGGCCATCTCAATCATTTATGAACCCCTTAGTTCATCTGGATATAAACTGCCTAAGGCAGGACCTGTCTGTCCCGGTCACTGCTGGACCCACGGTGGTAGGACCTCACGTTTGCTGAATGAAGCATTAAGGATATTATGAAATACACATAGCAGCCCCTTATTCAATGCTTGCAGATGGGGACAGAATTCCCAATGGAAAAACCTGAGGAAAGCGTTTAAATGTCTTCACCAAAGCACATGAACTCGAACAATTTTGGTCTACAGAATCACAGGCTCAATGGCTTGGAAGTAATAACGACCGCAAGCAAATGGCATTTTATTAACAAGCTTCACGTCACTCGATCCTCACAATAACCTTGGGACGCAGTCAGGGTGGAGGCCAGGACGTCTGTGAACGGTTTAGACCTTGGAGGCTCAGACGCTAATGCCAGCCCGAGTTACGTGAGCTGCTGCTAGCAATCAGAGTTAGGTCTGGTCTGGAACCCAAGTCATGTTGGTTATGGCTAAATGAGATTGATGGAGGTAGGCTGAAAGAGAATTGCAAAGAGGGCAAAGGGTTAGTATAGAGAAGTGGTCAACCATTCAACATTAGAGACATGCCTGCTTATGTCTTTGTATATTACTAGTCCCTAGGGCAAATTTTACCATTTATAGACACTAGAGGGCGCATGAGTAACAGCAAAGAAAGACTGGTTTAGCAGGTTTAGAGCAGCTGCTTCCAAAGTAAAAAGCAGTTGAGAGGTTTCAAATAGCCAAGCCCACATCAAAGCCCCCAGAAGAGCTGTCATGGGTCCCCAAAGAAAGGAGACACTGCGTCCCATTCCCTTGGCCAGGCTTCTATGCTGGCCCTGTGATCTGCCACCCCTCGCTCCCCCCTTCCCCCAACCCCAGTATGATTCAAACCATGCATTGGAATTCTGTGTCATGTTAGAAATTACACAGACAGCTACAAAGCTGTAGAGGGATCTGTTCCACACCCACCTTCTTCCTCAGAAGTCTGCAGCCAACAGTCCTGGCAATTAGGATGGTGAAAAATGTCTAATGTTCTTCCCGCAGTGGGACACCCCAGACACCACTACTGATCTGGGATCATGACATGAATGTGACTCCAATGGTCTGTGCCTCAGGCTGGAGAGTCTAGCTCATCCTTGTCTATGGTCTCAGGGGCCCTAGAAATTTCTTAGCCCTGAGGACATACCCGGTTAGGATCCCCAAATAGTGATGGGTCATCTCCAGTGCTCGTGGTCATGCATCGCACCCAGCCCTTCCCCAGTACCTCCGGGCTCCATCCCCACTGGTCTCATCGAAACGTGCTCTCATTCTTGTTTATTCACCTGGTGAATGGCTCAACAGCTGACGACAGCTGAAAGTGAGCTCTGTTTTCAATGACAAACATCCTGGGCCGAATACTCTACAGAACAGCTCTCTTGAAGGACCCCAGGCATGGTCCCTGGGAAGCAACATGAACGGAAAGTGTCACACAGACTCAAGGCAGACCAGGTGGTCTTAGCCAACGGCTGACACCTGATGCTGACAGAGCAGGAAGCAGGGACCGCGTGAGCTCCATGACAAGAGGAACCAGCAGAACAAAGCTAGGCTGGAATTCTGATTGGAGGGTGGAACACAATTTCGAGTTAATTTTATAAACATGATTTTGCTCAAACTACCGCACCTAGATTAATTTTAGACTTAAGCTTATAAAGGTATTTGAGGGTAAGCAGCTCTGCTTGGCTGGGATGATTTGCAGAGCTGTGTCTTCAAAAGTATGTCCAAAGCTAAGTTTTGTAAGATAGTACTCAAGGCGGTAAACAGAGTCTCTGGCCACAGAGGCCTGGGAAACAGCGCTGGTGAAAGAAAGCTTTAACCATGCGAGAACTATAAGATAATACCTCTGTGTTGTCTTAAGCCACCATAAGTGTGGTAATTGTGGTCACAGCAGCAATAGGAAACAAATACAAATGTAAACCCAATATGACTTTCATGCATTTATGGACCGGGACGAAACAAGGCAGGCCATGGGTTAGCAGTGACCCACTTAGACTTTAGCATTCTTCTCCCAATCCCCCCCCCTACAATAAGCATGAATTAATTTTAAAATATAGTCATGCTCAGAAAAGTAGTGAGTGCTGCTTGCTCTAACCTTCGAGAACCAGACAGATCCACAAGCCTCCCCGTGTCACCAGGCAGCACGCACCAGGAGAGCCGCGGGGCTGACCCTCCGTGGGGCCTCAGAGCAGCCTGGCCTGGCACAGCGGCCCTCTCCGGCTGCAGCACTGAGAGGCAGACCCAGGAGCAGAGACCTTCGCCCCCAATCAGTAAGTGCTGCCTCTCAGCGGGTGGAAGGGAACACGAGGAAATGTGGATCTGCATTTCCTGTTTATTTATTAGGAACAGTTAAAGCACTTCTGGGCCTGAGAAAGCAAGCCATGCCTTGGCTGCAGTTCTGGACTTCCCAAGCATGACAGATTTCCCTGGGGCATCCACAACAGGCCGCGCTGCCGAGGCGGGGAGAAAAATCCGGTCCTCCCACCCAAGGGAACCTGAGCGAGGGCTGCACGTCCTCGGAACACAGCTGCTGCCACCCCTGTC